GTACATGGGACGACACTCAACCAACTGAGCCACACTGGCCAGGGCTTCCCGACTGTTTGAAGGCCACCCTCCTTCGGTCTAAATGAGGGATATATGTAGTTTATGTCTCATTAGGTGCCATAGCCAATGGCCTCAAGGCCCAGCTCCCTGATCTCATTTGCACCAGTTGCCCTTCACTTACTCTGCTCTGGTCAGGTGGCCTCCCCGCTGCCCTCCAATCTACCAGACAAACTTCCACTCAGGCCTTTGCACATAGTTCTCCGCTCCCTTAACACAGAGGTCCCCTCGGCAGGAACTGCCAGGGCTGTCATCAGCTAGTGAGCACCCAATTACCTCCTGGGTGGAGGTGGTCCCACACCAGCAAGAAACGGTTGGACTGTGCCAATGAGGAGCTACCGACAAAGAAGGGAATGATGGGAGGCTGGGAAAATATTCAAAGCCATCCACGGAGGAAATGCGCAAACTCTGGATATTTTTGCATTAATGACAGCCAGCAGTTATTGAGCAGGTGGTTCTGTCACTCTTCCTTATCCCCAGTTCTCATTGCACACCCGGGGAAACTGAGGCTCAGAGAGCCTCTAGGGCTGCACAGCTGGGAGCAGCAATTCCAGGACTCAGCAAGACCCCTTAGACTCCAGCTAGCATGTTTCCTCCATCAGATAGGCTCTTCCTGGATCGGTCAGCAACTGTGAAGCCCCCAAGACTGGGCGCGACCTGGAGAGTGTAATCTCGGGGGGAAGTGATGAGCTTTGAAGGAGGTGCTGTCTCCCCAGAGGAATGAAGAAATGGAGGAGGAAGGTGAGAGTGGCTCACAAGGCAGTCTGGTGGCCACACTGAGTGTGGTTCAGAACATGTGGGCCAACAGCTGCTGAAAGCTCGCTTTCTTCATAGACCAGAAGGCCTTTGTGGCAGCAACAATCTCAAAGCGACTGGCCCACTTGGCAGCAGCTTGTGGAGGCCCAGAATCATCACTCTGGACACTGTTCATTCTCTTTCACCTCCATTTGAGAGTGTGAGGAGTCAGACTCAGGCAGATCTGGATCTGAATCTTATTAGCTCTGACTCTTATTAGCTGTGCGATCCTGGCAAGTTACATAACTTCTTTGGGTCTCTGTTTCCTCACCTGTGGAATGAAGATGATCATCACAGCCCACCTCATCTGTATATATAAAAGGCTAAGCGACTGTCCAACCGGTAACTATGACATACAATGACCACCAGGGGGCAGATGATCCAACCAGTAGCTATGATGTGCACTGACCACCAGGGGGCAGATGCTCAATGCAGGAGCTGCCAAGCTGCGGTGAACCGCCCTCTCGCAATCTGGGACCCATTAAGGGATGTGGGAGAGCAGGTTTTGGCCTGATTCCCCAAAGGCCAGGTGGAGGGACCCCACCTGCCGGAGAGAACCTGCTCACTGCAGATGCCCTTCGAGCTGCAGCACTGCCCAGGTGCAGCCGGCCAGGGAGGGACGCAGGAGGTTGGCTCCAGGGGGTGTCCGGCCCATCTGGCCCAGTCCCACCCCGCTGGCCACCTCCCAATTCATTTCCTTTCAATGTGCACGAATCTGTGCACCAGGGCACTAGTATTGAAACAATCAATGGAGTTAATATGGGTAAAGCCAAAAGCAACCTTGTCTGGGAGGACCTGGGCACCTGTGCAGGCAGGCCTCACGTCACTTAGCCCAGTGGTCGGCAAACTGCAGCTCGAGAGCCAGATGTGGCCCTTTGGCCCCTTGAGTGTGGCTCTTCTACAAAATACCACGTGCGGGTGTGCACGTACAGTGCGATTGAAACTTCGTGGCCCATGCGCAGAAGTTGGTTCTCGGCTCTCAAAAGAAATTTCAATCATTGTACTGTTGATATTTAGCTCTGTTGACTAATGAGTTTGCCGACCACTGCCTTAGCAGAAGAGTTCCTGAATATTGGAAAGCTGGTTGAATTTAGCTATTAAAACTGCTCAGTAGCCAAAACCGGTTTGGCTCAGTGGTAGAGCATCGGTCTGCGGACTGAAGGGTCCCAGGTTTGATTCCGGTCAAGGGCATGTACATTGGTTGCGGGCACATCCCTGGTGGGGGGTGTGCAGGAGGCAGCTGGTCGATGTTTCTCTCTCATCGACGTTAATAGCTCTCTATCCCTCTCTCCTCCTCTCTGAAAAAAAATCAATAAAATATATTTTAAAAAAAACTGCTCAATAAAATCCTACGTGCTTTGGGGTACGGGGGGAAGCAATGGGAGCAGGGGTGCCAGAACCTAAAATTGTTTCCTTTTGCAGCTTAGTCTCTGGGTGGAGTTGATGTCTGGGTATGGGACCCTAGGGTCCAGACAGAAGGAAGTCCAGTGCTCCCTAACCCTACCCAGGCCAACAGGTGAACAGTGCAGCCAGAATGCTCTCACCGAGAACTATATAGTACACCTACATCCAGGCTTTACACCAGGGTGACGTCAACTGACACCTTCTGTGCCTCCCTGTCCCCAGGTGAGGCCTGAACTCTCATGCTGACCTTGACATCAGCTCAAGTTCACTCCTGACCTGATTAGTTTGATGTTCATTTAGCTGCAATAGCAGGTACTTATTATTTTGTATTCTTTTCATTACTTTCCCACGGGTTCCAGGGACGGTGGTTTACATCCTTGTCAATAAAGTCTACAAGAGTGGTAGTTCTTATTCATTTCCTGCTGTTGTTGGATCCTCATTTGGGGCATATAGGTCTCGCTAACTTTGTGAAAACTACTTTTCTTTTTTCACACATTTTCTTGGAAACATTAAGTGGGTTCCTGCCATGTGCCAGGCGCTGTGCCAACCATGAATAAGACAGTCCCTGCGCTCCAACAGGGGAGGCTGACAAAGCAGAAGCCACAGCACCGTGTGGCAAGCACTCTGCGGTGGAGACTGCGGCGAACGGGACCACAGTGGGGCTGGGGAGGGGGGGGGGGGCGGAGAGCACTAACCAGCCCAGAGACAAGTACACACGCTGCCAGCTGCCCCGCGGAGTGAACCCTGAGCAGGCTCTCCTTCCACTGAGCCACTGCAGGGAGCATGCGTCCATTTCCAGACCACCTGTGGGATTCCTTTTCAAATACACCTGTTCTCTTTTCACAGCGTCTTTTCCTTTTCCCCAATACTTTCTATTCTTTATTCTTTTTTTTTTTTTTCACTTGAAAACTACATTTTCTCCCTTAAAGTTTCTTTCAGATTGCTCTTGTTGAAAAGTTCCCAGGAGTAGTTAAGCTTCCTGTTTTGGCCATTCACTGTCGTGATGGGATGTGTTTTTGAGTGGTTTGTAATTTTTGGTTGTGAACTTTTTTCTCTCTTGGTGTTCCTACGAGACCTGGGTGGTGGAACTATAGCCATAGTACAGTTACATATTTGCTTCTGTTTGGTTTCCTAAGGTGTCTAACCGACCTAGGTTTACTTTAATATCTTTGCTTAGGGAAATTACTCAATCACTTAGAAAGAATTTCCTGGACATTAACTGCAAGTGTATCCCTGTATTTGGTGCTGTGGAAGATACAAAATGATGCAAGACAATACTATGTGGCTGCCTTACATGGAACTGTCTGAAAGAACCAAATATACGCACAAAGTTAGGTAACCATGTAAGGCAGAGTCAATGACAGGGCTAACAGTGGACCCACAGGCAAGGTCAGAAGGAAAAACAGACAGCTGGGGGAAATGGGGAGGAAAAGCCGAGAGGAGAAAAGGTTTGTGCGAGGAAGTTACGGAAATCTGACTTGTGGGAGGAGAGTTAGTGCCGCTGTAAAGTTAGCTGAGGCTGTGAGTGAACGTCACTGTAGGGCCCCCTGTAGGGAAAAAGCCTTAATCAGGCAAAGGGAAGTCATTTAAAATGCTCCTAGGGTGGGAGGTAGGTTGAATGAAAGTTGTGTTTGAAGGAGAAAACAGAGTCACCTGACTGGGAGTCGAACCCCAGACCCTTTGGTGCAAGGGGGGGGACACTCCAACCAAGCCACAATGGCCATGGTGGGCTAGGAGGCTTTGCAGTGACTCAGACCAGAACAGAACTGGTTAGGGAAGCCAGCACAGTGAAGAAAGGGAGGAAGGGAGGTAGGCTAGCAAGATTGGAATGTGGAAGGTGTCACAGACTCCAAAGGTCTCCTTACACCGGCAGTCGCCAACCTTTCGGACCTCAAGGACCACCAGTTGGCGTCCGCTGCTAGAGTGTTTGTCAGCAGTGGCTTTTTAGTTAAGGAAGGGAGTTGGGAAGGGCAGACTGCTAGATACCTGGACTAAATGGTCAGAAGACCTCAAGAACGTGCTCACGATGAACACAGGATAAGTACAGGCAAAGGGCTGTGTTCCTGCAGACTCAGCCACCGGATTCCTTTTCCGTTTAAACAGAAAGGTTCCCTGAGCACCTTCACAAGCAGCAGGCGGCTCCAGGTGTCCGTGCAGGGGTGGCACTACCAGCAGGGACAGGGCACTTGCTGAATAAACACACTATGTCCCCAACTTACCGGATAACAAAACCGATTTTACCATAGGCTACAGTTCCTATGCATCTCATCAACATTTTAACACAGAGAAATGAAATCGAGCAAAATGTTGGTAGAGGACCAGCCAAGCCTTCCTCTACGAAGTTTGTGAGGGTTATACTGGCGTCGACATGGTGCAAAGCACCTTCAAATGTGTCTGGCACAAAGTGCGATTTTAGGGCCAATTATTATTTCATTCTTATTAACTAGAGATTTAGACTATAGCACCTAGCAGGCACAAGAACTCAACGACTGACTAAAACTCCCGCATCTAGCGATGGAGACTGGCCAAGAACTTGAGAGCAAAACACATTTTCCAGCCGTGGGCCCAGGCGAGGTTCGCGAAGGCTCAGTGAAAAGGATGCTGAGGACGCCTGGGTCGGGTCTGGTGCGGGAGGCAAAGCGGAGGGCCGTCTGAGCCCGCAGAGCCGTAGCCCGGCAGCCGGAGGCCTCGCAGGCCGTTTCCCCAGGGTCCGGGCCGCAAAGGGGCGGGCGCGGACCTGCAGGGAAAACTCCCGAAGCCCGGGCCGGGCTTGGCAACGCCGCAGACCATATTGGGGGCATCTGGCTTCCAGAACCGCCAGCCCCGCCCCGCCGCTCACGGGAGTCTTGGGAGAGCGCCCGAGCCTGTGGCGGCCCACCCGGGCCCGACCCCGCGACCCGGGCCGCCGAGCGCGGCGCCAGGCGCCAGGACCCGGTCCGGCCGCGGAGCGTGACAGCCGAGTATTCCCCGCGCGCCGCCTCCCATGATCCCCTGGGGCTCCGCCGCCGCACGGCTCGGCCTCTGACGTCAGCGAGGGCGGGGCGACGCCGTCACGTGACGGGGAGTGACCTCGGCGGCCGGCGCCATGGGGGCCTCGGACCCGGAAGTGGCGCCCAAGGCTCGCGGCGGTGCCGCGGGGATGGCGGGAGCCGGAGCTGGAGCCGGAGCGCGCGGCGGGGCGGCGGCGGGGGTGGAGGCCCGGGCTCGCGACCCGCCGCCCGCGCACCGCGCACACCCGCGCCACCCTCGGCCCGCGGCGCAGCCCTCCGCCCGCAGGATGGACGGCGGCCCCGGGGGCTTGGGCTCTGGGGACAACACCCCGACCACCGAGGCCCTTTTCGTGGCCCTGGGCGCGGGCGTGACGGCGCTCAGCCACCCGCTGCTCTACGTGAAACTGCTCATCCAGGTGGGGGCCGGGGGGCGGCGTAGGGAGGGGTGCTCACGTGAAGGTGACAGGCCTCGATCTGGTCCGATTGGGGCGGGGGTCGATGGCGACGGGTTTGGGGGGAGGGGCTGGGGCCGCAGGGACGGGAGAGGAGGGAGGCAGGAGGGTTTGGGGGAGGCAGGGGCACAGGTTTGAGGGTGTAGGAGAGGTGCGAAGGGGTCAGAGCGACAGATTTGGGAGAGGGTGGAAGGAACAAGGAGCTTTGGAGGTGCAAGGAGAGGGCGATGGGATAGAGACGGGTTTCTTTCGGGGATGAAGAGATGGAGGCGAGAACTTAGAATAGAAAGGAAGGGGCCTATTTGGGGGCGAGTGAAAAAGCAACAGATTTGGGGGAGGGGCAGGGAGTTTTGGCGAATGGGTGGGAAGGAGAATTGGGGGCCAAGGCGAAATATGTAGAAGATGAGCACATCTTCAGGGTGAAGGGAGCAACGGCTCTGGCTTCGATAGGGATGGATTTAAAGGGATGGATTTAAGACAAAGGACGGGTTGCCGGGGGCCTGGGCCAAAAATTCAGAGCGGAGAAGGCATCAGACTCCAGGAAGGAGTGGAGCTACCGGTGGTGGAATTTGGTGGGAGAGTGGGGAGGCGCACGGTTTAGCAGGAAATGGGGGGGCCTCTGGATCTGATAGCGACGGCAGATTTGGTGGGAGGAGAGGAACATAGGGAGACGCAGTGGGGGAGGGGACTATGGCGTTTGCCTGGAGGGGGAGCAAGGAGGCTTTTAGGGGAAAGAATGACGCATTTAGAGGAGAAAATGGAAGTCACGGTGGGGGTCGGGTGATGGGTCTCAGCCCTTGTAACGGAGGCAGGGGTGCTGCAGGGGTTTGGAAGTATTGGAATTAGGCAGAAAGGGTAGTTGGGACATAAGATGGCAGGATAGAGAGGCTGGCAGGAACTGAGGCCAAGGTAGGGATGTCTGCACAGTGCCATGCAGGTGCGCAGGGTGTACTGGTGCTGGCCAGCAGTGCCTTGCAGAGGCAGCAGGCTCCTTGAGAAAGGGAGAGGTTGAATTGGGAGGAGGCAGGGTGGAGGGATGCATATCCGAAAAGGGCAATGTTTAGATGGGGGTGGTTCAGGCCTGAAGATTTAGCCTAGAATTTTCCAGTTAAGAAGAGTGGGCGAGCCGAAACCGGTTTGGCTCAATGGATAGAGCGTCGGCTTGGAGACTGAGAGGTCCCGGGTTCGATTCCGGTCAAGGGCATGTACCTTGGTTGCGGGCATATCCCCGGTGGGGGTGTGCAAGAGGCAGCTGATCGATGACTCTCTCTCATCGATGTTTCTAGCTCTCTATCTCTCTCCCTTCCTCTCTGTACAAAATCAATAAAAAAAATATATTTAAAAAAAAAAAAAAAGAGTGGGTGAGCCGAAACCGGTTTATAGAGCCTCGGCCTGCGGACTGAAGGGTCCCAGGTTCGATTCAGGTCAAGGGCACCTAGGTTGGTTGTGGGCACATCTCCAGTGGGGGCATGCAGGAGGCGGCTGATCCATGTTTCTCTCTCATCAATGTTTCTAACTATCTCCCTTCCTTTCTGTAAAAAAAAATGAATAAAATATATTTTTTTTTAAAAAGGAAGAAGAGTGGGCAGGGAGTGGGGAGGGGAATAAAAATTAAGATGAAGACCCAACCAAGATTTGAGGTTTGATTCAAGTTGAGGTGGATGTGTGTCAGATTTACTTCTTTATAATTGTACTGACAGTGGGAGATGCCATTGGATAAGAGGGATTTGGATGGATAAGAGAGATTGAAATCAGACTTGGAGTAGAGGGCATAGAGGGAATGGGGTAATAGATTTGGAGGATGGCCTGACTGGTACCTGAGGTGTGGAGTGAGGGTACTGAGAGCTAGTTTTGGCTGAGGGCTGGGGTTTTCGAGGGGCAGAGAGGAGGATCAGTGGAGTGGGGGATGCTGGAGTACAGGCATAGGGGGCTCCATGGAAAGGAGGTGGGAAGTGGCTTCATGTGGACCATTGTAGATGGTTTGCAGGTTTGAGAAGAAGTTGAAATAAGCGTGATTTGAAGAGAATTGGGAATGAGGGAGAATGAGGAATTGGGAAGTAAAGGGAGGCTAAACGGTTAGAACAGTGGTCGGCAAACCTCGGCTCGAGAGCCAATGCAGTTCTTTGGCCCCTTGAGTGCGGCTCTTCCACAAAATACCACCTGCAGGCTCGCACATATAGTGCGATTGAAACTCCGTGGCCCATGTGCAAAAGTCGGTTTTCGGTCTGGGCCAGTCTATTTTTTTTTTTTTAAATATATTTTATTGATTTTGTACAGAGAGGAAGGGAGAGAGATAGAGAGTTAGAAACATCGATGAGAGAGAGAGGGCCAGTCTATTTTGAAGAAGTGGTTCTAACACCGAGCCACACTCAAGGGGCCAAAGAGCTGCAAGTGGCTCATGAGCTGCGGTTTGCCGACCACTGGGTTAAAAGGACTGAATGGTAGGGAGGTGGCCTATCCAGTTTGAACTCAGCTGGTCCTGAGTATAGCATACCTAGGGTGAAATTTTAATGGGCATAGCTTAGGAATCAGTAACATTTTGTAAAAGTAGATACCAGTTTGGGGGGCTAACAGATTTGGCTTGGAGTGGCGGATTTGGGGTAAATAAGAACGCAGTGCCTAAAATCAGGGTTCCTGGGAGTTAGCTTTCAGGGTTTGGAGATGGAAGGGGATAGGCTAACTGCCAGAATCTGATACAGGGCCACAGCTTGGGACTGGGTTCCCGGAATTGGGGATGAAATTGGTAAGTGTGACTCGGGCTCCAATAATGGAATTTTGAGGGCAAGGAGAATAAGGGTGAAGTATGGCCGCTGTGCCTTTGATAACCCAGGTGGGAGTTACAAATATAGGTTTGGAAGCTATGGGGACATGAGGTGAAGGGACACAGCAGATTCAGGGATGAAATTGGAATCAGTGGGACCCCCAAATGGTTGTGACGAGACTGGATAAGACAGCAAAAGAGCATAGCTCAGACTTGGAGTAGAGAGGATAAAGAAATGTTGCCTGTGTAAGAGGAAGAATCAACACAAAACTCAAAACCTTTGAGTTTTAAACTACAGGGAATGTACGTGTGGAAGGGGAGGGCCGTTAGCCTAGGTCAGCTGGCTCATCCCTTTTCTCCAGCTCCTCTAGGATAGACTTTTGTAAAAAGAAGGTCTCATCCAGCCAAAACCGGTTTGGCTCAGTGGATAGAGCGTCGGCCTGCAGACTGAGAGGTCCCAGGTTCAGTTCCAGTCAAGGGCATGTACCATGGTTGCAGGCACATCCCCAGTAGGGGGTGTGCAAGAGGCAGCTGATCGATGATTCTTTCTTTTTTTTTTTTTTTTTTTTTAAACTTTTGGTTTTTATTTTTATTTATTTATTTTTTAATATATTTTATTGATTTTTCACAGAGAGGAAGAGAGAGGGATAGAGAGTTAGAAACGTCGATGAGAGAGAATCATCGACCAGCTGCCTCTTGCACACCCCCTACTGGGGATGTGCCCACAACCAAGGTGCCCTTGACCGGAATTGAACCCGGGACCTTTCAGTCCGCAGACCGACGCTCTACCACTGAGCCAAACCGGTTTCGGCTGATCGATGAGAAAAAACCAAGATGGCGGCATAGGGTAGACACCCGAATGCAGCCTACCACAACAAATTTGAATTTAGAACTGAAAAACAGGGGAGGCATTGCCCTGAACCGCCAGACGGCTGGCTGAGAGGAGGCTCTGCCATCTGGGAAGGAGAGAGAAGGCACGCTGAACCTCAGGAACTGTGAAGGTACGGAGAACTGTGTGCTTGAAAAGGCGCTGGCTTAATCCCGGTGCGGAGAGGAAGGGCCGGACCGAGATTGCTGCTGGCTTACTCCCTGCACGCAGAGAGGGCGGGCCGGGCTGAGTTCGCTACTGGCTTACTCCTGGCGCGGAGAGGGCGAACAGCTAACGCAGCTGGCTTTCTTGTTCGAGAGGAAAACAGAATCATCCTATTGCTCTGATAAACGGCCCCAGACAGGGAGAGGAGAGACTGTCAGGCAGCGGGCAGAGATCTCTTGGAGGTGTGTGAAGCCAGAGGCCATTACTGCGGGACTTGGGGAGGAGCCGAAGGGAAAACAAAGTTTGTCTGCACCAACCCAAGACTCCGCCCTACCTGTGGCTGAGCACAGAAGCTCTCCCAGAGGCTGGCTTTCTCTAAGGAGAGACTGGCCGGAATCCAAAGCTTGTCTGCGCCTTTACCAAAGAGGTGTGCGCGCCTGCAACCAATCTTCCAAAACTCTCCACGAACAGGACTTTTCTAAGGCGAGACTGACAGGGAACCAAAGATTGTCTGCGCCACCCCGAGACCCCGCCCTATTCAAGCAGCGTACGGAAACCCTCCTAGCTGAGACACTGCTGATCCTCACAGCCAATTGGCTTGGAGATCAACGCTTCCCAGTGATACCAACAATAAGCAAGGCTTAACAACAAGACTGCACACACAGCCCACAAAGGGCTACACCAAGACTGTCCACCGCAGGTAACTACTGGGCTCTACCAGAACACCTAGCACACAAAGCTATTCCATCAAATCAGGGAAACAACTAAAATGCAGACAAGAAGAAGGACACAAAGGAAGGAGATGGAGGAAAAGAAAAGATTGGACATTGAGTTCAAAACTACAGTTAAAAGGTTATTCTATAATATCCTAAAAAAGGCCAATAAAATAAATGAGACCTATGAGGATATGAAAAGGGAGCAACTAGAAATAATAAGGGATCAACAAGAAATGAAGAAAACATTGTCTGAAATAAAAAATATTATACAAAATCCTAAAAACAGAAGGGAAGATCGCAAGAATCAAGACAAAGATTTAGAACAAAAAGAGCCAGAGGACACTCCTCTGCAGAAGGGAGAAGATAAGAGAATCCAGAAAGTTGAAGATAGTGTAAGAAACCTCTGGGACAATTTCAAGCGAACCAACATCAGAATTATGGGGATTCCAGAAGAGAGAGAGCAAGATACGGAAAGAATACTGGAAGAAATAGTGACAGAAAACTTGCCCCACCTGGTGAAAGAAATAAACTTACAAGTCCAGGAAGCCCGCAGAACCCCAAACAAAAGGAATCCAAGGAGGACCACACTAAGACATATCATAATTAAAATTCCAAGAGCAAAAGACAAAGAGAGAATATTGAAAGCAGCAAGAGAAAAGCAGGTAGTGACCTATAAAGGAGCACCCATAAGATTGTCAGCTGATTTCTCAACAGAAACCATGCAGGCCAGACGGGAATGGCAAGAAATATTCAAGGTGATGAATAGCAAGAACCTACAGCCAAAAATAATCTACCCAGCAAAGCTATCACTCAGAATCAAAGGACAGATAAAGAGCTTCACAAATAAAAAAAAAGCTAAAAGAGTTCATCACCACCAAACCAGAATTATATGAATTGCTGAAGGGGGTTATTTAGGAAGAGGAAGAAGATAAAGATAAAAATTATGATCAACAAATATGTAGCTATCAACAAGTGAATCTAAAAACCAAGGAAATTAAAAAATCTGATGAACAATATTAACTGGTGAATATAATAGAATCAGAGGTATGGAAGGGGAGTGGACTGACGATTCTCAGGGAAAAGGGGAGTGGGGGTGCGGGAAGAGACTGAACAAAAACTGTGCACCTATGGATGAGGACAATGGGGGATGGGGAAAGGACAGAGGGTGGGGTGGAAACCTGGTGAAGGGGAGCAATTGAGGGGGTGAAGAGGATCACATTTGTAATAATCTGAAAAATAAAGATTTATTAAAAAAATAAAAAAAAAAAATAAAAAAAGGTCTCATCCAGAGAAGCTTTCTTACTTTACAATCAGTAATATGTCAGGTAGCTCAGAATCCCATCCATATGGGACAGCGTGAACTTTCAAAAACCCTAAAGCAAAGAAGAAGGGGAATTGACCCAGGAAAGCACTAGAAGCATACCCAGTTCAGTTTTTAAGGCAGAGCCCCCAACCCTGCCATTTCTGCTTTCCACATTTCAAGAGTTGCTCCTCTGGCATGACTCAGTGGTTGAGCATTGACCTGTGATCCAGGAGGTCACTGTTAGATTCCCCGTCAGGGCACATGCCTGGGGTACAGGCTTGATCCCCAGTGGGGGGCATGCGGCAACTGATCAATGATTCGCTCATCATTGATGTTTCTGTCTCTCCCCTTCTCCCTCTCTGAAATAAATAAAAATATATTTATTTGTAAAAAATAAAATAAAAAAAAATTGCTGGTCTGGTTCACTGGTCCCCAGACTCCGTTGGCCTGCTTTGAGGGACAGGGCTACTGTTCCAGCCTCCTGTCAAGGAAGGAGACTTCTCACCCCACTTACGTGCTGGTCTCCCGGACATGCTGCCTCCTGCCTGGCAGCCGAGAGTCTCCTCAATGGGCTGCTTAGCAAACAGCCTCACTCCTCAGAGACCCCACTTCCTCACGGGGTGTGGGTGGCTTGGTCCTTCACCCACATGAGGTTCACATGTAACAGCATCCACACAGCAAAAGGGACCATAGCCCCATGAAAATGTGGAACTTTCTGACACAAGGATATGGGTGATTGAGGTTAGAAAACAGTTGAGAAATTGTTGGAGGAGCAGCTGGGATTTGAGGTGGCAGACTGCTCTGAGAAGAAGAGATCTGTTGACATCTGTGGGTGCGGTAAGAAATTTGAGTTGTGGGTGACCTTTGGAATGGGTTACTTGGAGCTGAGCTGTCTGAAGTTTGGGGTGAGATTTTGTGTTTTGGTGTTAACCACATTTACAATTGAGACTGGACTGAAGTTTTTAACCTGGAGATGACAGTAAACAGATCTAGTCTGAGATGAGTATGGGATTCAAAGTATATAAAAATAGGGGGTTTTGTCCTGGGGATGTCTGGAAGTTGAAGGTAATGATTTTGGGGGATGGGGATGACTTGGATAGTGGTGGGGCAGTCTCTGGACATTTCTGCTCATTGGGAGATTCATGATCCTGATGGTTATAGACACTGACGAAATTTCTCTTACGTTTTGTTGGGGAAACATCGACAGGAACAGCATTAGAATCTGTGGGGAAGGAGTGAGAGGCCTGGGAAGATGAGAAGCAGTGAGGTGGGATCTGACCTTTGTGTGTGTTGATTCTGAAGGTGGGCCATGAGCCGATGCCCCCCACCGTTGGGACCAATGTGCTGGGGAGGAAGGTCCTCTATCTGCCGAGCTTCTTCACCTACGGTGAGTGTGCTTCCCACACCGACGGAAGAGAAGCATCAGGTGGCCCTGGGGAACAATGGGCAGCATGGCACCCAGTCAGAGCTGGCATGGAGGAGGGGATGCCAGAGTGTGGCCCGAGGCAGCAGGGTGTTGGGGTGAGAGCTGGTGAATAATACAGCTTTGGTCCATATCCTTTACCTGGCAGCAGGTCAGGCGGGGCTGGAGGGGGTGGGCTGGGGGACAAGCCGGGGGGGAGGGGGCGCAGACAGGTGCTCAAGGGAGGAGCCAGTGAAGACACTGATCCTGTCATCCCTGCCCCCAGGTTGTGCCTGGAATTGGGGGGAAGGGGGGATAGTGAGGTGTCCTTTGCCTTCTGAGCAGTCGGCCCTGCTACTAGCTTTTTTGCTTTCCTGCTGCCGTAGCAGGAGGCCTGGTTCTCTTTCTTCTTTCTTCGGCCTCTTTCCTTTGTGTTCCCCGGGCATGGAGCCACCTGACTCTGGCATCTCCGCCCACTGGGTATAGAGCAGTGCACGGTGAGTCTGGCTCTCCCTGTGGTGTGCCCTGACCAGCCGGTGAGCTGGGGCACACAGCCTCACTGCCCTGCCCGATTCCTCTGCGAGTGGCATCAGCATCTTCATGCCTGGCCCTTCACACACCTCTCCCGGCCCTGGCCCAAGGTCTCCACCAAGAAGCCCCCCTGGCTGCCTCTGCTGCTCACCCCCTGGGCCGTGGGCACCAGCTGCCCAAGAGCTCTCCAAGCCCCCATGGCTGCCCTTTCTCCCAGTCCCCCCTCAGGGTCGTCATGGAGGGGACTTCCTTTACATGTTCACAGCCAGCCCGGTCCCCTCATGCCCCCTCCACCTCTGCTCTTACTCTTTGGTCGTTCCAGAATGTTCTCTGAAGACCTTTGTTTCTACTGAATAACGGGGCTTCGCCTCCTGTCCCCTTTGTTTCACTTCACCCACTGCTGGCAGACTCTGCTGTCACGTTTCTCTTTCAGTCTTGCCGCCATGGTGCTGGGCACAGTCTGGGGCCAGTCAGAACGTGTCATTTTGTGGGGAAATGTGTTCTTATTTGTTTTTACTTCAAGATTGTCAGTGTGGGGGAGGGAGATCAGCATGAGGAAGGCACCCCCGGAGTGCAGTGAGGCTGGGGACCCAGGCAGCACCGGGCCTGTGGGAAGCAGGGGTGTGGGCTGCCAGCCCCTCCCTGGGGCGTCTGTATGGCTGGGCACCCTCCAGCCGCGCCGGCCTTGTTCACGTCGCAGTCATCGCCGCAAGGACTCAGGAGAGGGAACGGACTCACTGTCTCCTCTTGCGAAGATGAACAGAGTGCTGAGGTGCTCCCACCCGGTGACAGGGATGTGTTTTCCCCGGGTGTTGTGGCAGAGCCCATGGGTGTTTCCGGACACACACTGCTCTCTGCGGGGAGAGGCTCGGCTGTGTGGAGGCCTGGAGCCTGTCTAGAAGCATCTCCTCCCCTGTCACGGTGGGGGGGTGACAGGTGGAGGTGTCACGGTGGGGGTGTGACAGGTGGAGGTGTGACGCAGAGCTTCCTGAGGGAGTTCCAGGGGCTGCGGGAAGGAGAGGGGCGGGGCTTTGGGCCCAGCTGGGCCTCTCTGGACATTTTTGCTGCCTTTCTCTGCTCTCACTTGTTCATTCTTCATCTCAGAGATGGGGGAAGTAGGGAGCCCTAACTCCTTTTTGGCTGCTGGGCAGGTGAATAGAAAGAGGCTGAGTGCCTCACTGGAGGTCATATTTGTTTACCCAGCATCCCTCTCCCTCTTATTGAGTGGTGCTCCCCTCCCCCAAAACAAACCTCCCTCTGCCCACTCTGAAGCCAGCGCCTGTGTTCTCCGCCCCCCCCTTCCCCAGCCCGCCCATCTCAGGAAGCAAGTGTGCAGGGAGCAGGTGCTGCAGCCCGGGGGAGCCCTCTGGCAGTGGCCGTGGCGGTGGCCTGCTGGGCGGCAGACATATTGCAGAGAAAGGCCGGACAAGCCGGTTCCTGCCACTGTGAGGCGCTGGAGAGCTGAGTTGCGGGTCTGAGGGGAGCATTGTCTGAGAACGTTCTGCCAGCTTCCAAGTATGCAGCTTTGTAAAAGTACAGCAGCTTTTTGAACACAGTTTTAAAGTTGATATTAAAGAAATCAACAAAACATTAAAAAAGCGATCCTTTCAGAGACCCCAGTGAAGAAGCTCGGATTCGCAGGTGGCTCTAGCTCCCTGGCTGCTGACTTTTTTTCTGTAAAATAGCCCTTGCCTCTGCTTTGGCTCCTTCTCCACTTGCAGGTCCTCTCCCGTCTTGGTTAATGAATGCCACCCGGGCCAGGTGCGGTCCCGGGGCATGCCCAGCGGACACGCATGAGCCTCTTCTGGGAGCCCCTTTTTCCTCCCTTGGGTTGAAAGCTTTATTATTATCTATGAGAACCCTACCTTTCTCCTTTCCCCTGAGAAACACTTTTTTTTTTTTTTTTTTTTTTTTTTTAATGAACAACAGAACTGGTTTCTGGGTTGCAGCGCTGAAGTTACCGAGTTGAAAACTAGAGCTCGGTTTGCCAAGTAGATTTGTCAAAGCTAAAAAAGGAAATGTGCGAACTTGTCAGGAATATGTTTTGAAGGCTTTTATGTTTTGAAGGGATGGGCGAGAGAAGGAGTTGGTGGGGCCTGATTGCTTCCAGGCTCCTGGGCGGATCTCCCCTCCGTGACTGTGACTTCGGAGTGGGCGTCTGGGCTGGCGTGACACTGCCACCCCTGCTTCCTTTTAGCCAAGTACATTGTGCAAGTGGATGGGAAGATCGGGCTGTTCCGAGGCCTAAGCCCCCGACTGATGTCCAACGCCCTCTCCACCGTGACCCGGGGCAGCATGAAGAAGGTGAGGCCCGGGGAAGTCAGCAGCAGTGGCCAAGGTTCCCCTGAGCTCCCGGCCACCCCAGAGGCAGCCTGTGCACTGGTCCAGCGGCCCGTTCCCAGCCTGGCCGGGCCACCCCTCAGCACCATAGCCAGGCCCCAAACCCTGGTGGCCCGCTCGTTGGTCGGGAGGGTTACCCACAGTCTTCCCGCTTTCCCCCGGCTGTGACCCCAGGCTCCAGCCCTGGGTTCCCTGAGGCTGGCCAGCCAGTGGCCACGGCAGAGGAAGTGGTAGGGGCTGCTTCCATGAGTTCCAGCAAGAGGCACTGTGATTTGCTTGGCCCTCCTTTGTGTTCGCTCAGGTTTTCCCTCCGGATGAGATCGAGCAGGTGTCCAACAAGGACGACATGAAAACCTCTCTGAAGAAGGTGGTGAAGGAGGTGGGTGCTGGAATTGGAGAGGGAGAGGCCCGGGGAGAGGCCTGGGACAGGTCTTTGAAGAGGCTCAGGGTTGGGTCCTCATGCTTGCATGGTAGGGGTGACGTGGAAGGCCAGTGTGGATACCGCAGGGAGCCCCAGAAAGCCTGCAGCTGCTTGGGGGCCTGGCCTGGCCCCAGCAGCACTCCTGGGGGGTGGGAATTGGAGATGCAAAAGTGGGGCCACCTGAGGGAGACTGACCCCCTGTGGGGGCTGCGGTATCTCAGTTGTGCCCTTTTGAGCTCTTAGCTCCCCAGGAGTGTCCGTTCCAGGCGCAGGCCAGACTGAGTGGTTGCCGGGGTTCTGACCCCCCTCTGCCCTCTTGCAGACCTCCTACGAGATGATGATGCAGTGCGTGTCCCGCATGCTGGCCCACCCCCTGCATGGTGAGCCGCCCCACCAGAGACCGTAGCGCAGAATGGGATGCCCTCGTGGACTGTAGCTGGGCGGCGGGAGACTTACGGGGAAGGGGCAGTGAGGTGGGAGTATTGCATTGCAATCCCACTGAGGAGAGGTTGGCCGGGAGTCCTGTCCAGAGGGAGCTGAGGCTCTTCCCAGGTGGAAGATGGGGTGCCGTGGCCATGGGGTGTGCTGGGAAGCCCAAAGGCCCTTCCCCCCGCTCTGTGACCCAGGCCATGATGTGCAGGGGCCACCCCCGCGGGACCCCACAGCTGGCTGTCCTGTGCTCTGTGTTTGCGTCATGTCACCTCTGTGTTTTCTCTCTCCTCAGTCATTTCAATGCGCTGCATGGTTCAGTTTGTGGGACGGGAGGCCAAGTACAGGTGGGTAAATCTCGGGACTGAGGCATGGCCTCGTCCCCATTCCAAGTCTGGAGGACAGGCCATGCTGGCCAGTCACTGCCCCTTCTCAGCCTGGGCTCTGATGTGCTGGCCTCAGAGGAATGTAGTGGCCTCCATAGTCTGTGTCCAGGGGCCTTTTCTCTGTGCCTCTTGTCCGGGCTGCCCGGGGCGGGCCTGGGTGCCCTGCAGAGAGGTGCGTGGCCGGGGAGTCCTGGCACCAGAGCTGATTCTTTTCTTAGGACTGAAACAGGGTTTCCTCCTGCCCCCTAGGCCATGCCCTAAGGATTTCTCCACTGTCCTAGCACCTGCTCACAGCTCGCTTCCTCCTCTGTCTGCTGCAGCTGGTGGCCAAGTGCTCACTGTGCATCTGCGCACCACACTGCAGGGGCTGGGGCAGAGGGACAACAGCCCTTCCCTCCGGCATTATCCCTCCTGCCCCTCAGGCTCAGTCAGGACAGGAGGCGGATCCCGGATGCCTGTGACAGCAGGACCCGCCTCTGTTACCCTCTCTCATTCTCGTTTCCTGGGTTCAGCTGCTTTCTGCTGCTGTCCTGTGGGGTCCCTGCCCCAGGAAGCTTGGCTGCTAGGGGCCCTCACTTGGGGCTCACTAGTGGGAAATTGGCCCGTTCCCCCAGACTGAAATGTGAGCTCGGCAGACGGACCAGCAGTGGCCGTGCCCCTGTTCCGAGGAGAAAGATAGTGGGACCTGGCAGAGCTTGTGCCCTGGAACCAGCACCAGCCAAGGCTTTGGCTCCCACCGTCTCTTTCTCCTGGGCCTCTCCCGCCTGAGGCTTTGCAGAGCCTCATGCAGGACAGGCCACTTGGCTTTGCAAGGTCACGGGTTGCTCTGGAGCCTCCTTTCCATTTCTCACCCAGAAGCCCATCTGGTCTCCTACAGGCCGTGATGAGTGCCGGTCCCGGGCTTCTTGCTGGGGAGGCCAGATGCCTTTCCCAGGCTGCCTCTGGGCGCTCTGCTGCAGGTCCCTGTGCTCCTCCTCTGCCTTCTGGGAAAGTAACTCTGCCACTTGCCACTCCCCCTGCTCTCGCTCAGGCTTCTCTACAGGAAGGTCGCTCAGCCAGAGAGAAGTCTAGGGCCAGGCAGAAGTGCCCATCAGGGTGCCGTAGCCCAGGCCGCACGGTTTAGGCCTAAATCCCAGACCCACACAAAACAGTGGTTGCTAACTGCTGAGTTCTGCCCAATGCTGGTGGGGTCTCTGAGCTGGGTAAGTACCCTCCCACCCTCAAACAAGAGCTCTCATCTCCACTGGGTTCTGCCTGGAAGCAGAAGCTCCCCTGCCCATCCCAGCCAGGACTCATGGTTCTGAGCAGCAGTGGGGAGGGGGAGGACAGGGTGCTTCTCCGGGTGACCTCTAGCCCGTCTTGCTTTCTTCACAGCGGCGTGCTGAGCTCCATTGGGAAGATTTTCAAAGAGGAGGGGCTGCTGGGATTCTTTGTGTACGTGAGTTTGTACCCCCAAAGCTGGCCGCGGGCATGGCTCTGCTCACAGGCTCCCTCAGCCTCTCAGGCCGCAGCTGCTGGCCTCAGCCTAACCCCAGGCCCCACTCCTGCCTGAGTGGCTGCACTTCACGGCGCATTCGAGCTGCAGATCATCCAGACTAGAGCTGTGCATGCTGGTCCAGACACGGCCACACAGAGATGGTACTATTTGTTCAGTGCTGACTGCGCTGGCCACCCAGGCCCTGTCCATTTGCCAGGGCTGGGGGTGGGCATGGGGCTGGCCATGAGCCAGGGCACTCTATTGTTTCATTGCTGAAAAATGACTGACAATCTGTGCCACGCACTGAGGACCGAACACTGACAGCTCCTAGTGACAGCATTTCTGAGTTCTTCCTGTCTGACATGTAGGGAATTTCACATAACAGTTCCTATTTCTGGCTTCTTTTAAAAAGTCAGAAAACCTGGCGCTGCTCAGCCTGTGTTTGTGCAGAGTGCCTGCCAGCAGGGCACACGAGCTCCCCAGGACCACAGAGCCTCTGCCTTGCTGTGTCTCACACCCACCTGCTTTCCCTGTAAAGAAAACACCGGCAGAATAATCCATAGATGGAGCCCAAAAGCCGGGCCTGACAAGTGTCATCTGTTTTGCCTTTTAAGGTCCAGGCAGTGGCATGTATGTACTTAGTACGGGCTCTCTGTTTACTCATATTGTGGTTTTATAGTTGGCCACATGTTTTCATTTATGATCCAGTGTAACTAAGAATCTCTGTGTGTGCCTCATCAGGAGGTGATGTTTGCCCCAGGGACGTTGGTACTGCCTGGAGACATCTTTTGTTGTCCCAGCCAGTGTGCAGGAGAGGCCAGGGCTATTGTTAAACATCTGCAGTGCCGAGGGCAGCCCACAACGAAGGCTTATTCAGCCCGAAATGTCAGTAATGCCAAACCGTACCTTATGTACACACACTCATTTTTATATATACACCTGTGCATATATGCTTATACATTTGCCACGTGACTGGTGTATCAGACTTTAAAACACTACCCATCGCCACCTCTGGTGTTTTGTTTTTTTAAAAAAAGATATTTGCATTGCTCTAACTGGTTTGGCTCACTGGATGGAGCATCAGCCTGTGGACTGAAGGGTCCCAGGTTTGATTCCGGTCAAGGGCATGTACCTTAGTTGCAGGCACATACCCAGTAGGGAGTGTGCAGGAGGCAGCAGATTGACGTTTCTCTCTCAACGATGTTTCTCTCTATCCCCCTCCCTTCCTCTCTGTAAATCAATAAAATATATTAAAGAATATATATATATATATATATATATATACACACACACACACACACACACACTATTTATTTATTTATTTATTTATTTATTTATATTTATTTCAAAGAGCAAGAGGGGGAGAGAGAGAGAAAGAGAGACATCAATGACCAGAGAGAATCATTGATTGGCTGCCTCCTGCACACCCCTACTGGGGATTGAGCCCGCAACCTGGCATGTGCCCTTGACCAGAATCAGACCTGGGACCTTTTAGTTTGCAGGCTGACATTCTGTCCACTGAGCCAAGCCAGGTAGGGCGCCTCTGGTGTTTCCACGCTCACTGTGTAGTGCCATTCTGGAGTGTGACTGGGACTCCTGTTGGTCACTTACCCTTCGGGTTCTGCTTCTCTTCCCGTGGGTGTGGAACAGGGACACACGCAAACGTTACCGTTCTCAGAAGTCACCAAAGGGTCCGTGTGGAGAGGCCACCTGGGCGCAGGTGGGAGCAGCATGATTAGAATTGCATTCACGAGGTTCATTTTCTTAATATCCCTCATAACATAGATGTGAAGTTCCAATTCTTGTGAACTTTTTAAGTATTTTGAAATACAATTTTTAAAAACTCAAAAATCATAATTCTACTTCCCCTCCCAAGAGATAGCCATTTTTCTGGAAATCTTTTCAAGTCACTCCATATCTACACCAGTAAATAAGCACATTAAAACCACCCGCACACACAGGTGCTGGATCTGGGGGGAGCTTCCCCTCTGCTTATCTCAGAGGCCGTCACTTTTTTTTTAATTTAATTTATTGGTTTTTTAATTTTAATTTTTTTTTTTTTTTTTTACAGAGAGGAAGGGAGAGGGACAGAGTTAGAAACATCAACGAGAGAGAAACAACAATCAGCTGCCTCCTGCACACTTCCTACTAGGGATGTGCCCGCAACCAAGGTACATGCCCTTGACTGGAACCGAACCTGGGACCCTTCGGTCCGCAGGCTGATGCTCTGTCCACTGAGCCAAACCGGTCAGGGCTGAGGCCGTCGCTTTAAAGGTCGGTGCTTGTGAAGCTTGCTTGGTTGTGAACATTCTGGGGGAAGACCACATGCGTTGAACAGTGTTTTGTGAGAGTTGGTTAGGCATCAAGGCCAGGAGAAAACTACCAACATGTAGGTACTCTTTCATAATCTGTATTGAAAATCCCGGATTTAGCAAAATTCACATCTTGAGGCCCAGCTTCTGTGGTTTGAAACCAGAAGCTAATCCAGTATCAGACGAAGCACATAACCCCAGTCCTGGAGAAAGGAGCGTGCCTGCCTGTGTGTGTAGCCGCTGGCCTGTGGCCCCGCAGGCTCTGCCGGAGGCAGTGGATGTGCTGAGGTTTGGAGCTTGGAACATCCTTGCTGCTTCCTGGGCGTGGAGCCCCAGGAAATTCCCCCCCACCCCCTGGCTCATGTGTGCTCACCTTGTCTTTTAGCGGCTTAGTCCCTCATCTGCTGGGCGATGTGGTTTTCTTGTGGGGCTGTAACCTGCTGGCCCACTTCATCAATGCCTACCTGGTGGACGACAGCGTGAGTGACTCCCCAGGGGGGCTGGGAAACGACCAGAATCCAGGTTCCCAGGTTTGTTGGAACAAGGACTTGTTCTTTCTGTGTACCTCTGATGCCCAGGGTCTGGGGCAGACTCAAGGACTCTGGGGTTCTGAGCGCCAGGCCCCGAGGGCTAGAGAGGGCTTCTGGGGGAGAGGTCTGAGAGGAGACCTCTGTGGTCCCCAGCTTAGCTTTGCCACAGACTGGCAACCTGGAGTTTATGGAGTGCCCGTCCCTGGGCAGCTTTAGAAATCAGAAATCCTAGCTTATCTAAGACTGTGTGAGTTATGACCCAACTAGGGTCAGGAAACAAGAGAGACCGACTCCCAGCCATCCTTTCACTCCTGCTTAGTGTTTGATGTTTTGAAAACCCTATGTGAACATTATGACGTTGGCTCCTGAGAGCACCCGGTTGCGAAGGGAGCAGGGCAGGCATGCCATCCTGTCTCCCAGACAGAGACGTTGAGGCCCAGAGACAGGGGCTCTCCAGAGGCACTTGGCTGGGATCAGCAGGGCTGGGCCTCAGTCCTCCCTGTGAAGGTAGGGGTGCTCCCCCCTTTAGGTTTTCGAATCAACTAGGAAGTGTGTTACACAGGAGCACCCAGTATTGTGTTCACAGAGGCCCACACCTGCTGCGCTCAGACCTCAGCAGTTGGGTCGGGCATGTGGAGGCCTTGCCTTCTAAAAGGCACCGAGAAGAAAGGAGTCTTAAGGACCTGATGGCTTGACCGATTCTGTCTGAATCCAGATGAGAGTTGGGGAACAGTGATGGGTGAGGGTTGCTGATAGCCAGCCATTGTAACAGCAGGGATTGCCAACCCCAGGAAGGAAGGTGAGGATTTAGGGACCTATCTACTGGGGGTGGAGGGTGTCATAGTCTACATGTGTCTGTGTCTGGGCAGTTCTGTGTGTCTGGGCTTGTGCCTGGTGAGTGAGCAGTGAGAGCCTCAGTCAGTCTTGTGTAGGTGTCTTACTGGCCTTTCAAAGTGAGCGAATTCAGACGGCCCCTTTCTCAGGGCCTCGTGGGTGGGGAGCTGCTGCCGTCAGAGCGCCAGGCGGGGACAGCGGAGGTGGAGGGGGCATCCCACACTGATGGGTTCCCTCTAGTCTAGGTGGGCGGGTGTGTGACCAGGCCTGCTGCGTTTAGCCTCCAACAGCGGCACTCAGCAGCCCCCCTGAAAGTGCTTTTAAAGGCTAAGAGGAAGCTGCCACTGGCAGAGGGCTGAGCAGGCCTGCATCCAGGGGTCTTGTAGGTGCTTCACCTGGTGGGATGGCCATGCCACAAGATGCTGAAGGTTAGGTGGTCCCCTTTCCGGGGCAAGGTTGCGGTCTGAAGGGGCCAGGAAGCCGAGGCCGCCCCCATTTGGATGTAGGACGGATTTGGGCCTGGGTAGTTCAGGAGGCTGGCTGTCTTCTGGCCTGTGAGCACTCCCTGGGCACTGTGCCAAGCCTCACACTGACCAGGGCAGCACAGGCCAAGCCCTCGCAGCTCACAGCCAGTGGGTTGCACAGGCCAGCCGCCAGGGATCCCCTCACCTGGCCTTCACTCCTCGCCGTCCCTGCGGGACCAGGGAATCCCTTCAGTCTGGCTGTCCCACCCCTGCCTCCCGGATCTTCCCGTGGCTCTGCTCCAGGGCCATGGAGGCCGCTGGCAGGCCCCGGAAGTGTCACGGGGGTGTGTGAGGCAGGGAGCGGTCGGGGGGAAAGGCCAGGACCAGGCAGCACGGCAGGGTTCTGCAGTGAGACGTGTGCATCCTGAGGTGTCCGTGGCAAACCCGTCTTCCTTTTTGTCTCTGCAGTTCAGCCAGGCCCTGGCCATCCGCAGCTACACCAAATTTGTGATGGGGGTAAGTCAAGTCAGCCGCCCTTCCCTGCCCCGGGGGCCTGGGAGGGCAGCTCTGGGGGTGGCTGGGGGCTGGCCGTGGTGTAGGATGTTGGCACAGTGTGCCCCTGCTCCCTGAGCCCCCGTGGGACTGGCGAGGGGTCACTGACACGCAGGTCTCCCCGGGTTTCAGATCGCGGTGAGCATGCTGACCTACCCCTTCCTGCTGGTCGGTGACCTCATGGCCGTGAACAACTGTGGGTAGGTGTGCGCCCCTCCACCAGGCACTTTGCCAAGGCTGCTGGGCACCCAGCTGAGCCTGTCCAGCGCTCTGCCCCCTCCCATCTGGGCCTGACATCCCGCCTGGCACCCTGGCTCCCCTTTGGGATGTCTGGTTCGGGAGGCGGGTAGCGGCAGTGCCACGCCGTTCCTTCTTGGGGTCCTTCCTGGGTGATCACCTCCAGGGCTCTCTGGGTCTCACATGCTCCCCTTCCCCCCAGGCTGCGGGCCGGGCTCCCCCCCTACTCCCCCGTGTTCAAGTCCTGGATCCACTGCTGGAAGTACCTGAGCACGCAGGTGAGCAAGCTCCAGAGGCGGCCTGAGCCGGCCACGGGGGTTTGAGGGCGCTTCACTGCTGGAAAGATAAGGGTTGCCATGGAATCCAGGGTTGTGAGGAGGATAAAGAGAATGTAAATGCAGACTTGGTTTAAGACATTTAAATGGACTTTTCACTTTATCTTAGGGTTTGAGGTAGTTAGATCTGAGTCCACTTAAAAATTTACATCAGAAAAAGTCCCCTTTTCTTCAACTCTTAAGACGGCTGGATCAGATGTGTGGGAGCCATGGAGGGGCGCACACCCTCTCACACCTGGAATCAGACGCTGGAAATGGGCCGTGGGGTTGAGGCAGCTCCTGCCAGGCAGCTGGCGTACTGGGGGCCGAGCCCTCTGGCGGGACACCCTTCGCCCACAGAGCCTGGGCCTGACCTGGGCCACACGGTGGGCCTGGTGCGGGGGCAGTCTGCACCTTTCTCCTGGCTGGAGCCCTTGGGCCCCCTGCCAGGGCTCCTGGTGTCTGGGGCAGATCCTCGCCTTCCTAGCCTTGGTTTGCCTCGTGAATGGGGCAGTGCCTGGCGAGCAGCCCGCGCACTGCTGACCTGGGGTTAGTGAGAGGACGGATGGGGGGACGCGCAGGGCAACGGGTGCAGTTCTTCCCAGTGGCCCAGTGCGTTCCCTGTGCGTCTCGTCCTGTGGCCATTGGAGGGCCCGGGCCACTTGGGCTCTGGAGCCAGAGGACCCTCCTCATGGGGTGCTTACTGAGTTACCCATCACCAGTGGACGCCTGTGGCATGCAGTGGCCAGTGAACCACTTCGGCTCTTGTCCTTCAGGGATGCAGCCTGGGCCCTCCCCGACCCTGAGCTCGGAGCCGCTGGGCCCTCCTTTGCTCACACTGGCCTTGCTCGGGGGCAGGATGGGAAAGCTGGCCTCCCCTCTCACTGACCCAACTTCCTCGCCGTCCAGGGCCAGCTCTTCCGAGGCTCCAGCCTCCTTTTCCGCCGGGTGTCGTCAGGATCGTACTTCGCCGTGGAGTAACCTGAATCACAGACCCGCGGCGCAGCCTGGCAGCCCGCCCGGCCGCCGCGGGGTGGGGCCTGATCAGCCTGGGCCTCGTAAGACGACTCTAACCCAGCGACTCCTAGATGTGCCGCAGCCCAGCCGGGCTTCGGCGTCCACGTTTGCCCTGTGTCTGTCCAGAGCGGGCTTGAGTGGGGTGAGGCTGCATCCAGGGATCAGTCACCTGTTGGGCCTGGGGAAGGGGGGGCGGGGCTGGAGGACGGGGCGGCAGGGGAGGGGAGCCCAGGCTTCACAGAAGCAGAATCCCCGTGCTTCACACATGTGCCAGGTCTGCCTATTGCAGGTCAAAACGCTGCAGAGGCCCAGGTTGGATGGGAAAAGGCTCTTGATGTCAGGTCCCACCCCACTCGTCCCCCAGTCAGCCCCCCCAGTCAACCCCAGCTCCCCCTGCAGCTCAGCTGGGAGCGCCATCTCCTGCTTGTAAATAGGGTGTGATCGCCTGCCACCAGCCGCCATCATGCCCAGGCCTGTGCTAAAAGCTGTGGCTAGGTTCTGCCGTTTTTCTCAACACTACTTTTCTGATGGCGAGGCAGCCCCTCTCAACAGGAAATCACATGGCCACTCAGAATGTGTACCTCGTTGAATGCACACCTCCTTAATGGTGACGCCTCGTGTGCGGGATCTGGTTCCCTGTGCACTTGTGAACACCCAGAAGTTAGGCAGATCAGCATCTCTAGTCCTACCCACTTTGACCGTTTCGTCCTCAAATAAATGTACTGGTGGTGATTTGGAGTTTTGTGGGAGTCTCTGACTTTGATCTCGCAGTTCTTGGTGTCTGTGCGAGGATGTGCTGTGGAGCGGCAGGGCTGAGGCAGCACAGCCTGGGTTGAGAAGTGCCAGGCACGGTGTAGATCAGCCACCTGGGGGGGTGGTGGTGGGGAGATGGGGGTGGTTTCTGAAACAGACTGGCCAAGATGCCATTCACAGATCAACAAGCCGTGCGTGGGCCTGTCGCTAGGGAGACAGTCCCTTTAAAGGCTTCCCAGCTTCCAAAGGTGTCCCTCCAAACCCTGACTCATCTCCGCACCAGCTGTGGGTGGGTTTGCAGTGTTTACTGAGTCATTTGGTGTAGCCACGTGGCGACAGCAGAGGGGCCGATGTGGGCCCAGCTGAAGCATCTCTGCCCAGCGCCGGGTCCGGAGACAGGCAGAACGTACTGATGGGCGGTCCCGGCCCTGAGACGCTGGGGGTTTGAATGCCATGGCGGCCTGGCCTGCTTCCTCCGTGTGTCTTGCCCTTGCTCTAGCCTGGTGGTCTGGTGACTGGTCATGTCCTCACAGGTGCGGGCGCTCACCCCAGGGGAGGCCCTGGGGTGCTTTGGCAGGACTGGTGTTCCCCAGAGGCCTAGTGACAGATGGCTGGAGAGCAGTTTATTATGGATCCTTGCTCCCCCAGAAGACATGCCTCAGCAGGTGTCCTGACTCTAAGGGAGCAGGGAAGGGGAATGTGCCCTCCCCCTCCAGCCTCATTTCTTTACAGAAGGCAGGTCCTTCAGGGTGAGTCTGCCTCCAGGCACCTGCCATTCTCCAGCCCAGCGTGGTTTCCCCAGCACTGACTCCGGTTTGGGATAACCTTTCTTCCTGTCTCCCACGTCCGGATCCTGTGTGCACTGATTACTTCTCACGGTCCCAGTCCTGTGCTGCGCTGGCCTGAGGACCCTTCCTCCCGGCCTGAGAGGCCACCTGGAGCAGGAGGGGGCCAGATGGGCTGGCGCGGTGCCTGAGAGCCTGCTGTTCCAGGTAACACCCCGGGATCCCTGAATTTCGGGGTCTCGCCATTTCCCAGGCTCTTCCACACCCAGAAATGCCTAGAAAACACCTTTTAATCCTCTATTTATAGTTGAGCAGAGTCCAGGTTTTACGTCTGAACTGAAAAGCAAGTTTTCAGTTCAATATTCAGATGCATATGTGTGTATTAAATGCTCCCTTTGATGCCTGGGCCCTCTGAGCACCTGGCATGCTCCCTGGCAGTCCAGGAAACAGAGTGGCAAAGTCCCAGTCTGGCAAAAGAGGTGGGTTGTATTGGGGCAGGAGGGAAGCTGAGCTGTCTGCAGAAGGAGGGGTGATGGGCTCGGGAATGCTGTGAAGCCAGTCACCACCCCCACCCAGGGACACTTCATTCTGATGGACAGAGCCGGGCAAGCCTGTGACAGGGACCCCTGTGATGAAGCCCGAGGTGGCAGCAGCCGCCTGTGCTGGGAGCCAGCCCCTCCCACCCTCTGCATGCGTTCCCAAAGAGGCCCCGCCCCTGGCCTGGGACAGGTTCTCAGGTGACAGTGATCCTGAGGGTGTTCTTCACAGGAGGCAGCATTGGAAAACGTCCTCTGGGACAATTGGGTCAACATCTGAAAATCGATGTAAACACCCACAAAAGGGACAAAAGCCAAAGGATCATTTCAGTAGACACAGAGTATGTGGCAGAATTCAACACCTTCATGATAAAAACATTAAAAACAAAACAAAAAAAACCTAGGGGCCGAAACCGGTTTGGCTCAGTGGATAGAGCATCGGCTTGGGGACTGAAAGTTCCCCGGTTCGATTCCGGTCAAGGGCATGTACCTTGGTTGCGGACACATCCCCAGTGGGGGGTGTGCAAGAGGCAGCTGATCGGTGACTCTCATCGATGTTTCTAACTCTATCTCTCTCCCTTCCTCTCTGTACAAAATCAATAAAATATATTTTTTTAAATAAAAAAATAATAATAAAAAAAACACCTAGGAATAGAGAACTTCTCAACCTAGTCAATGATATACCCTGATAAGTATGAAAACTCCACAAAGAACACTGAATGGGGAGAGACCTAATGCTTCTCCCCAAAGATCAGGAAGAAGGAAGGGATGTCTGCTCTTGCCACTGCTCAGTGCCCTGGAGGGACTATCAGAAAGAAGAAGTAAAACTGTAGGTGACATGATCTTGTATATAAAAAATCCCAAGGCCCTGGCCTGTGTGGCTCAGTAGTTGAGCCTTGTTCCATGTGCTAAGAGGTTGCTGGTTGGATTTCCAGTCAGGACACAGGCCCTGGTTGTGAGCTTGATCTCCAGTAAGGGACTTGTAGGAAGCAGCCAATCAATGCTTCTCTCTCATTGATGTTTCTATCTCCCTTTCTTTCCTCTCTCTGAAATCAATAAAAACATTTTTTAAATACTAAGGAATCCACTAAAAATGCTTCTATAATAAGTGATTTCAGCAAAGTCATAGGATTCAAGATCAATTGTATTTCTATACATTTGCAATTGAACAAAGTAGAAATGAAATTAAGGATTTTACTTATAATAGCATCAAAAGTAACAAAGTACTTATGAACAAATTTAACAAGAGAATTGAAAAGCTTACACTTTGAAAACTCTAAAACATTGTTGAAAGAAATTAAAGAAGCCCTAAATGAATGGGAACACATCCCATGCTCATGGATCGGAAGATTTAACATTGTCAGGATGGCAGCTTACACACACCCTGTTAATATCTCAGCTGACTTCTTTGCAGAAATTTGAGAAGCTGGTCCTAAAATTAAAGGTGCCTAGAGTAGCCTAAACAATCTTAAAAAAGAACAAAGTTGGAGGACTTGCACTTCCTGATTTCAAAACTTAGTCCATCGCTATAGTAGTCACTTTGGTGTGATGCTGGCAATAAGAAAGACAGACAGACCAATGGAAGAGGATGAAGTTAAACATGAGTTACCACAGGATCCAGAGTTAACATGGGATACCACTTTTAGGTATCTCTCCCAGAGAAATGAAAACGTCCAGGAGTGTGTCTAGCAGGATTATTATACTCGCCCCAACATGGAAGCAACTGAAGTGCCCACCGCCTTAGGGGCGGGTAAATAATCATACAATGGAATACCGGTATTACTTGGTAATAAAAAAAGAATGGAGTGCTGGACTGCTCTATTCTACTACCTGGAGGAACCTTGAAAACATTATGCTACGTGAAAAGGCCACATAGTGTATGATTCTATGTATACAAAATGTCCAGAATAGGCAAGTCCACAGAGACAATGGATTAGTGGTGGATTAGGTCTGGGGGGAGGGGGCTTGGAGGGAAAGAGGACGTGACTTCTAATGGGAGTGGGGTTTAGAATAAAAATATTCTAAAATTGACCTTGGTGACGGCTGCACCACCCTGTGAAGACACTTAAAACCATTGAGTGTACAATTTAAATGAGTGAGTTTCATGTTATGCGAGTTATATCTTAATAGACATATATGGTATCATATTTTTATATTGTACATGTATGAAAGGCAGGCATCCCTGGCCTGTCTTGAATGCCTCCTGTTTAACTGCTGACACTGGCTTTAGTCGGGAGACAGTCGCTCTGCCCTCACCAGCATCAACACCAACACCAGCGTGGCACCAGGTCGCCCTCAGCCACCTACTGTTGCTGGCCCTGCACACACACTGTGCCTTCCTGCCCGCTGCACGTCTGCACAGCCCTGCTGTGCCCGCTGGGGCAGTGTCTGGGACTCCGCCTTCCTCAGGACTCCTCCAGTCACCAGGGCTTGGCTCCATTTCTGGCCTTGTATCCCAGGGGCACCTGGGTAGCAGCACCCTGGGAAGAGGGTGCATGCCACTCCTCGACCCCGGGCACCGAACCCAACGTGGCCTGACTGGTGAGTCCTGGAGCTGGGAGAGCCAGCCCAGGGCCCTGGGCCCTTTACCCTCCTGCCAGCAGCCTGACGATTTGATGCTGACATGAAGGAAAGGAAGGTGCCCCAAAGAGCTAAATGGAGTATTTGGGGGAAGGGGGTGTGAGAAGAGAGAACAGGTGCCACAGGTTGGCAGGGGAGGTGTTGAGCCTCTTCAGCGCCACCTGCCCTCGCAAGCATGGAGACCGGGTATCTGACACAGGCTTTTATTCAGGAATCAGAGCTGTTTCCCACTCCTGGTGTCTGCCTGCCCCACCCATAGCACCCCACCAGGTGGGGCTTGTCCACTTGCCCCCTACCCCTCCCACCCCCCCACCCCCAGCTACATGGCAAGTAGGAAGAGGGAGGCAGTCAACCCAGGCCAGGCAGGCAGGGGTCTCCCCAGAATCCCCCCTCACCCCTGGACTGACACAGGAGGGGCCCAGGTCAGATGTGCAGTCTCAGGCGGCAGCCTGAGCTCACCGCCAGCCGGGTAAGATGTCTGAGCGAGGCGCGTGCCCTGCAGCCTTCCCTTCCAGAGGGCCTTTGGCCACTAAGCATTTTATTTGGGGGGCTGGGGACTGAGTGAGGGAGATGGCAGAAGGGCAGCTGACCTCCTCACTCTGGGAAGGCAGGAGGCACCTCTGGGAATAGCTGGGACTCAGATGTCTCCGGGAAGAGGCCAGGGGCCTGGGAGGGGCCAGGGGTTCCTGGAGAGCCCCAAGATCTCCTGTCCCTAGAAAGCAGGGCCACAGCCACGGGAAGAGCGCTCAGTCCGAGCTAGTGGAGGGGCGGCCGCTGGAGGCGGAGGCGCTGCCTGGACAGCGCCGGAAGCTGGGTTGGAGGCGGCTGCTGGGCCACAGAGCAGGACCTGCCTGGGAAGATGTGGCCTCTCACTTGGCGGAGGAGGATCCAGAGTAGGCATGAGGCCAGGGTCCCCCGCACCAGGCCTTGCCTTTGAGTAGTGACCCCTCAGAAGATTCCAGCCAACACCAGGGGAGGCAGTAGCAGCAGAGCCAGAAGAGGGCCCCAGATGTGGCCGGAGCCCGAGGTCAGCCCGGCATAGGTTTCAGACCCTGCAGGGTCCTCTGCACCTACAGGAAGGGAAGGGGTTTGCCTTGGCCCGGAGACAGCTCTGCCTGAACTCCCACCCCCCCACCAAGCATGCAGGCGGGGGCCCAGCAGCCAGGACGCAGCTCCTGCTCAGAGGGCACATGTCCCTCACGGTGACGGTCTGGACCCAAGAAGGAAGGTAGGGCGGACACTGCAGGCCTCACCTGACTGCAGGGCCAGGGTGCGGCTGCCCATGGCATTGGCGGTGGCCCCTGTGTTGAGAAAGTCGGGCAGGGACTTGGAGAGGATGGGCACATCGTGGTTCAGCGTGGCCGGCAGCTCATTTGGCTCCTCCTGGGCTGGAGGAACTGGGGCCGAGACCTCACTGGATGAAGGCAACTCGGCCTCAGACTTGCCCTTCTCCTGGGAGGGGGGTAGCAGCCCTTGTGTCCCTGTCGGGAACACCTGGAGGTGCAGAGAATTCTCTGGGCTCGTGGAGGGCATTGTTGTCTCGCTGGCCTCTTGGTCTACCCCTTTTGAGGTGGGATCATGGGTCGATTTGGGGGAGGTAGCCGTTCCCTCATCCAAGGAGAGCGGGCTGTGAGTTTCCAAAATCGGAAGGAACTCAGTTGTTAAGGAAGATGGAACCTCAGTTGCCATGGAGGATGGGCCTTCCATTGCTAAGGAAGTTGAGGCCTTGGTCTCTGTAGTAGGTAGAGCTTTGGTTGCCAGGGGCCCTGAGACCTCTGTTACCAAGAAGGATGAAGTTTCTGTTGCCAGGGAAGTGGCGATGCCCTCTTTCCTAGAGTCTGAGGCTTCTGTTGCCAGGAAAGATGGGGTCTCAGTTACCTCCTCTGGGTCGCTCATGGGTTCTGCTACGAGAGACAAGGCCTGGCATTAGTGCTTCAAGCAGGACCCCATAGACCTCTGATAATAAACGTTACTTCTCGTGGTTGATATGGCTGCTCCTCCATCACCTCCTTGTCCAAGCCTTCCTCTCTCTGCACTCGCATTTCCAGTTTTCATCTGGATCCCAGTTCCTAACACGCCCACCAACTGGCCTGTCCACCTGGCTTTTCCCATCTGCCCCCCCCCCCCCCCCCCCCCCTACAACCCTTCCCCTTACCAGCGCTACTCTCTGCTGCGAGGGTTGAAATCCGGTCACTTGGGATGAGAGGGCGCCCAAGTGGCTGCCCAAGGAGGGCCAAACGGGCTTGGGAACCCGGATGGGGTGGGACTGCCGAAGGCCCCTGGAGGTCGCGCCCCCTGGGCCCCTCCCCGGTCCACGCCCTGCTCAGGTGCGTCCCTCCCCTCACCTTCCTCTTCCTCCGCACCCCATCCCAGACTCACCACAGAGGGAATTTTCGCAGCGGTACCCGGAGGGACATTGGGAGCACGGAGTCCCTTCCAGGTAGGGCCTGTGCCCCTTCACGTTCCCCCTGCAGGAGGCAAGGAGGATGCTGGGGGTTGGGGGTTCCCTGACAACCCCTGACTCTAGCCCTTATACACACACCTAGACCGGAAGTGCCCAGGCTCTTCTTACTTGCCCCAACTAATTGGCTGGATCAGTGAGAGCAGACTTATAGGTCCCCTCACGGCACCCCCAGGGGCATAGAGGGCCTGGGCTCCAGATTACCCCCACCCACCTCCTTAGACTGCATCCAACCCAGTCCTCTTGGCTCTGCCCACCCCAACGGCTCCCTCGGACTCACGGGGGCTCATAGTTGCAAACCAGTAAGTGGATATTGGTCTCCTCCACTCCTTGGAGCTTCTCGCAGAAGTGGGAGCCACAGCCAATCCTGTCTGTCCTGGCCCAGACCACCTGAAGGAGGGCAAAACCAAGTTTGGCGTGGATGGGCCGGGCCCTGGCTGGAGTCGCTCTGACCGGCCTCTGCGGGCGGGGAGAGGAGCCAGCCTTGCAGCCTGTGAGGTCCAAGCCCCCGATGACATGCAGCTTAAGGACAAAGCTCTGAACGAGGGTGGGAAGGGCAGGGTGCGGGTTTGTCCTGAGCAGACTACTCTCCCCTGCCAACCACCATTTCACCAGGCCTCTCTCCCTCTGAAAACCATCCCCTTTGCTATGCCCTCATGCATTCTTCCTGTGGGCTGTTCCCAGAGGCTCCTGCTTTTTAAACGACGGGTCTATCCAAAGGAATTGATTTCCAATGGGAGAATCTTAAACTCGGCAACGAGTAAACTCCAAGGAAAGAAACAGGAGAAGCCATTTGGGAAGTGGGACTTTCCCCAAATCACAAGGAAGCAGGGCCCTGCCATCTCTAAGGGGTCTCCTGGCTGCTAGGAGTTCTGCCTCGAGTATAAAATTTAAGAAGTCAAAACAGTCTTTGTGCACATGGCTGGAGACCGGCTATTTCGAGGCCTCGGCTGCCCAGGAGCCACTCACACGGGCGGGTTTTTGCTGTGAACTCTGGCTCTGACTGTTGCTTCTGCCCACCCTCCCAGGACTGGCGTCTCTGCTCACATCAGCCGAAGGTCCGCCAGGGATGCTGAGCATCTCCCAGGCAGAGCTGAGCAAGGGCGTGTGCACTCAGCCCTAGAGAACGCTGGGGTGGAGGCGGGGCGGACCCCCTTGTGCTGTGCTGGGCACTGGCAGCAATCCCTGGGAGGATCGGGTGGGGATGGCAGGGTACAGAGGGGGCTGCTGCACCCTCATAACTTCCTGATCTCGGTGGGTGAGGTTGGGATTTCCTGCCCTAAAGATTAGCACTAAGAATACCACTCAAAGGCGGCACTGGAAAATGGAATTGGTGGATATGGGTGGGAAGATGGTTGGTTTATTTTTGTCTTTAAAAAAAAAAACAAAAAAACCCAAAACTTGTCTTTGTGTTATTGTTAAACAACAGATAAGCATTGGGAGGAGGAAAAAGAGAATTCAGGAACTTAATGGTGCTCCCCCCAGCACACACCCTTACACCCCATATCTGCAGACTCAAACTTTCCAAATGCAGTGAGAATCCATAAGCAAAAAGCGACTGTGAGAGGCAGGGACAAGCTCTCAGAGGCTCCCGAAACCTTCCCTCTGTGACAATTTGCTCTCATTTATGTTGTTTTTTAAAAGCAAACAAAAATTTAAACAACAAAATTATGTATTTGTTTTTTGTTTGTTTGTTTGTTTTTCCCCTTTGGCAGGTTAGAAGCAGCAACTGAGACACCATGAGAAATGACAAAAGAGGGACAGTGAGCGGGGGGACAGAGTGGGGGTCCTTGCTGCTGGGGCCTGGCTGTTTCCGGCTTGGATGGGGTGGCCTGTGCAGTAACTGCCGGGCAGAAACGGGCTCCGAGACACCGAACTTGAGTCTGTTCAGCAGCGGGAGGCCGAGGGGCGGCCTGGGTGTTCAGATTTTTATAGAGAGAACTGGAAATGGTCTATCAGTGTGAGAAGCAGACATTGTCAGGTCTAGATGGTCATTAACAACTGTGGAGTGATGGCTTTTAAGAAGGATTGAAGGGCTCAGAGTGTGGCCTAAGGCACTGGGGCGGGTGATGGGGCAGGTGGGCCCGCCCCGCCCGCTGCCCACGAGGCCCCGCCCACCGCCCACGAGGCCCCGCCCACCGCTCTCGCCCGCACCTGCGTGTAGTGGCCGCACACCTGGCCCGGCTCGCAGGCGGCCGCGCTGAAGTTGTAGTGCTGCTGCTCCACGTGCCACTCCTGCACGGCCAGCGGCACGTCCATGCCCTCGTCCGTGATGGCGAACAGGTTCTCCCCGCGCCGCCCGCGCTCCTTGTTGTGGCCCCACACGCACTGCCGGGCGTAGGCCTTGGCGAAGGCGGCCAGCTCCTCGTCCCACCTCTGCGGGGAGGAGGGTCAGGGTTAGGGTTAGGGACCGTGATCTTATTAATTCATGTTAATATCCCAGTGGGACTTGGCAGCGATGCCCCTGCCTCCCTCCTGGCCGCCTGCACCGCCGGCAGACCTCAAGGTGCCCGGTGCGGAGGCCTCTTCCCGAGAACGTTCCCCCCAAAGGCAGGGCTCTCCGTCGGCCACGGGGTGACGGCAGGAGGAGAGCATGGAGGGGAGGGGCCTCTGAGGTGCTGGGTCCCTCGCTGGGCACAGCGCAGGGTGGGTGGGAAGAGACTAACAAGGCAGCTGACCGAAGGGTGAGGAGGGAGCCTGGATCCCATTAAACTTCCTCCGGCTTCTCCTGGAAGGATCGCCTGGCCCACACTCGGTCTCCACCCTCCGAGGCCGTCCAGCTGCGGGGCCGGGCGGCCCAGAAAGCACCGAGAGCTCGGCTCCCTAAGGAGGGGGCTGTGTCCACACCCATCCCCGCTCACACGGCTCTCCGGAGCCGCCGGCGTGGATGGAGCACTGGCTGGGACAGCCCGGCCCCGTGGCGGGGTGAGTCCCTTCCCTCTCCGGGACCTTTTGTCTCAAATTCCTGGTCCCGGAGGCCCCCTCACACCGGGGCAGGAGTGGGAGGGGGGATGGGGGGAAGGGGCAGGGAGCCGGGACAAGGACAGGGCGCCTGGCAGGCTGGCCGGACTGCACACTAGACTGTGAGCTCCTTCAGGTGGGGCAACCACGCATCCCACCGTCCGGCTCAGGATGGCACAGGGCTGGCTCAGGGCTGGCACGGGGCTGGCTCAGGGCTGGCACAGAGATGGCTCAGGAATGGCACAAGGCTGGCACAGAGATGGCTCAGGGCTGGCTCAGAGCTGGCACAGGGATGGCTCAGGTCTGGCACAGAGGTGGCACAGAGATGGCTCAGGCTAGCTCAAGGCTGGCACAGAGATGGCTCAGGTCTGGCACAGAGATGGCTCAGGGCTGGCTCAGGGATGGCACAGCAGGGACCTGCCAGCTGAGGATGGCTGAGACGGTCCCTGCTTTAGGCAGCCTCTGCTCAGAGCCCCTGCGTTTCCATTCCACCAGCTGCCTGGGCCCCACCTGGAGGGCACCGCTCTGTCCTAAGGCTTCTTAGTGTCCCAAGACCCCTGGGGAGTTTCGGGAGTCACAGCACCACCCTACTGGCCACATGGTCATCATCCCTTCACTTATTCACTCACTCAACAGTCCTGGGCACCGCGCCAGCCCAAGCAACAACAAGGACCCAGGAGCCCAAATTCACATCGCCATGAGCCACTGATGGCCGCCACGTGGTGAGTGAGATACGCATGGGTCCATAGAGGCACCAGAGGGCCACTGAGCCCAGCCTGAAGGGGGGGGGGGGGCCGACAGAGGGCAGAGGCAGGGAGGTGAGGGGCAGAGGCAGGGAGGCGGGGCAGAGGCAGGGAGGAGGGGCAGAGGCAGGGAGGAGGGGCAGCAGGCCAGGCACAGAGCCTCCTCAGGTGAAGCTTGTCCTGAGCACTGGGAGCCAGGGGGGCTTCGAGGGCTCAGCCTGTGGGGCCGTTGGCTCTGGCAGTGCAGCCGGAGCCGGGGCAGGAGCGGCCGCTCTGGGTGTCCGGGAGGAGAACAGGAAGGCTGAATCCGTTGTGCCGAAGAGACTGGGGCAGGAGGAAGGACTCGGGAAGAGGAGCCTCTGGGTGTAAAGGTGGTGATGGTCACATGTGGAGGCTGAGAGAGAGAGGAGTCCACCTGACCCCCACCTGCCTCACCCACGGCCACTCCCTCTTGTTAATCCCACTCTTACTGAGAACTACTAATTGTCAGGCTGCTCTGAGTGCTTCCCACATGCTTACCATTTAGTCCTCACGGCCACTCAGCCAGGGATTGTTCTATTCTCACCCCCAATTTACAGATGAGGAGGTCTGAGGCACAGAGAGGCTAAGTGACTTGGCTGAGGTCACACAGCTAATGCCTGGCAAAGTTAAAATCTGAGCCTGGCCGGCGTGGCTCTGTGGCTGAGCATGGACCTATGAACCAGGAGGTCATCATTCAGTTCCTGGTCAGGGCTCAGGCCTGGTAGGAGGCTCCATCTTTCATTGTGGGGCGAGCAGGAGGCAGCCGATCAATGATTCCACCTCATCACTGATCTCTCTCTCCCTCCCTCCATCTCTCTCTCTCTCTCTCTCTCTCTCCCCCTTTCTCTCTCTCCCCTCCCTTCCTCTCTGAAATCAATAAAAATATATTACAAGAAAAGAGATTGGACCCCAGGCCTTGTGGCTCCAGAGCCTGCATTTACCACTGAGAGGCTGGCTGAGCCTGTGCCCCCCAATGCCAACCTGCTTGCAGGAGTGCTGCCCGCCCTGAGGCCCATCTCTGTAGGCAAAGTGGCTCCCAGCCGGCGAAGCCCCAGCCTCAGCCAGCAAGGCTGTGGGCAGGAAGGCCCTGCCTATGGGGAAACTGAGGTCTGATGATGTATTCCGGGCTCAGTCAGAGTCGTTGGCAGAGTGGTACCGGCTCCTGGTTTGTGTCTCAGTCCCTGGCTGACACCCCCCCCCCCCATTCGCTCCTGTGCCATCCTGCCGGCCCTCTGGGCAGGGATGCCACCCCTTGTGACAGATCAGGAAACAGGCCTTTGACGGTAAAGGGGCCACCAGTCCCCTCGCCGGACTGGACTCGGCTGTTAACACTCCGGGCTCGCACTCCGGCTTGCGGCTGTGTCCCCGGTGTGACCGTGCTCTGAACTGAACTGAACTTCCGGCTCCCTGGTCACTGCTCATCACCCTCCGGCCGCTTCAGAGGGGCACGGGGGCTGGCCGGCTAGTCCTCGGGGAGAGCAGGAAGGGGGTGAAGTTCTCACTTCATCTCTCCAAATCCTGAGGGGAACAGCCTGCCCCACGCTGCCATCAGATAACCTCCCCTGAGGCAGAGTGGCCACCACCTGAGTGGCTCTGTCCTGCGCAGGCTGTGCATGTGTGTTTACCGAGCCAGCACGAGTTCCACCTGTTATAACAGTGTTTTTTACATTTTCAAACGTCATGTAAATATATCCTAGTATATATGTACTTGAGATTTCTTTAATTTTCTGTTAATCCTCACCTGAGGATATTTTTTCCATTGATTTTTAAAGAGAGTGGAAGGGAGGGGGAGGGACAGGGAGAGAGAAACATCGATGTGAGAGAGAGATACTGGTTGCCTCCTGCACGCGTCCCGACTGGGGCCAGGGATCAAGCCTGCAACTCAGGTGTGTGCCCTGGACCGGAATCACCCCGAGACCCTTCCGTCTGTGGGCCCGCACTCTAACCACTGAGCAAACTGGCGAGGGCTGAGGTTTCATTTTTACCCCAACTCAAAATTACATCTACGAGAGTCAGCCCACGTTGATACACGTGTGACTCAGTTATGACCTCGCTTTACAGACGAGAAGCAGAGGGTCCTTCCGGGGTTCAGAGACTCCCCCAAAGTCTTGCAGGTGGCTGGACGAGGTGCTCCCTGCCTGCTTCAGTGCCGCCACCTCAGGCCGCCCTCCTGCTCAGGCGCCTGGGCTGGTCCTGCTGCCGATTCCTCTCCTCCCTCTTTGGGAGGCATCTACAGACGGTTGTCACCTAGGGGTTCCCCTCCCGGTGGCACGTGCATTTAGGAAGGGCTGGGGGAGGGCGCTGGAGGGGAGCGGGGTCACCCAGGCCTGGCCCTGTCAGCCCCTGCAGGCCCCCTGCCCCCTAAGCCTGCTTCCTCGTCCTATGGCGGGGCTGCCATGGGGACCTGGGAGTCATACAATTTCGGAGACCCTGTCCTGGCTGGAGAGGGAGCCCGGGGGACAGCGTTGGCTGAGGGACGGGAGCGGCTGGTGGGGGGCCCGGCCGCACCCTTCAGCCTGGCAGGTGTGCCTGCCCACACTCACCATCCGCAGCATGTTGGCGGCGGCCGCCTGGGCCCGGTACAGGTTGTGCAGCTCCACCATCTCGCGTCTCTCCTCGGCGCTGAGGGCTCCGGCGGGGCCCGGGGCGGCCCCCAGCAGGAGCAGTGGCGGGAGCAGCAGCGCCAGGAGGCTGCGGGAGCTGAGCATGGTGGCCAGCCCTCTCTGCCTCTGCCGTCCGGGGGTCTGGCAGCCGGATTTAAAGTCCCTCCCACACCAGCACCACCCTGGCTGGGGCGGCGGGAGGGGCCGTCTGGAGGCCCAGCCGGCTCACACAATGTCTCCGGGAGGGCCGGGTGCTTGGGTCCCGACAAGGGCTGGGTTCCCTCCAGCATGGAGTTCCCCCCGGAGTCCCTGGCAAACGCCTCCCTTCTCTCAGTCACGGGGGCTCAGGCCAACAGCCCTGTGAGCGCCGCGGTCCGGTCCCTCCCGGTGGACGGGTCCCCCGGGGCCCAAAGCACACAGCCTCGGCCGGGGTCACACCCCCGGGCGCCGAGGACAGAGCAGAGGCAGGGGAGCCCCACAGCCCCGGCCCAGAGGACTGGGCGGGAAGAGGAAGGTGCAGATGGCTTGGGAAGGAGGGAGGAAGACGAGGTGTATTTGGTAAAGGGTGAGCCAAACCAAGTCTGAATCTTGGTTCTGCAACTTTGCTGGCCGTGTGTGTGGCCGTTTCCTGGACTGAATCAGTGACAGTAATCATGCCTGCCTCCCAGGGCTGGCAGGAGGGCTAAAGGAGGTCGAATATGTGTAAAGCTCCCAGCACAGTGTCTGGCACACAGTAGGCCCTCGGTAACAGTAGATGGCAACCACCCACAGGGCGAGAGCTTGGCCGGCGCCCAGCCCTGTGGGGAGGCAGATGCTTGCTTCCTGGAGGAGGGACTGGCTGCTTCCCTCGCCAGCTGTGTCCGGTCGCAGGTCTTTCCACGGATAACATGTCGGTTCCCACGTGCTCTCTGTGAGCTCAGGTGCTTGAGGGGCGCCTTTGGAAGTGGGGTGCAGGGATCACTCCTGTATGTAGAAATATGTAGAAAATAGAATATATTCATTTTTCAGATGAAGAGAGCAGAAACACAGAGGGTGATGAGCTGATGAGCAGCGGCTGCGAGGGGAGGGGCTGGAGGGAAGTAGGCCCAGGGGGCAAGCACTTGGACTGGAGCGGCCATGCAGGCGGGACTGAGGTCTGGGCCTCCGCGAGGCAGGCAGCTGGAACCGGGCTTGGAGTTCGGCTGGGATCCTCGAAGCTGCACTCTCGGTGAATGGGGACCTGGAAGGAGTCTGTTTACTGGCTTTGGAAGATGCAATAAAACCGGTCACTGCTCAGGTCTCGGAGTAAATACAAAAGCAAACACAAAATAATATGATTCAACCACAAAAAAACTATTAGCGCTCATTAAAAAATTCAGCCAAGTCTCACAATACAAAACCAGCCCACAAAAGAAGTTGTGCTTCTACACACAACAATGAACAATCAAAAAAAAAACCCCACAAAACCCTAAGAAGCTTTCACAACCCAGCTTGGGCCATCTACAAGGGGGGAAAATCCCCAGCTTTAGCTCACAATCAAAAATTATAAAGCACATGAGGACCTGAGCTACCATGAGCACACACAGGAGGATTTCTGTCTCCAAAACTTGAGATAGTATAACAATCTAGAAGATTTTCAAATAACTATATTTAAAACTAGAGGCCTAGTGTACCGATTTATGCACCAGTGGGGTCCCTTGTCCTGGTCTGCACCTCTGGGACCCCTGGGGGGATGTTGGACTGCCGGTTTCAGCCCAATCCCCCAGGCCAGGCTGAGGGACCCCACTGGTGAATGCATGCACCAGACCTCTAGTATGCATATAAGATCTTTGGTTAATTTCTTTCCACCTCCCCTTTCTCCCTTCCCTCTGAGATTCATCAGTCCGTTCCATGTTTCCATGCCTGTTCATTGAGTGTCTGCCCCCTGGTGATCAGTGTGCGTCATAGCTACCGGTCAAATGGTCGAATGGTCGGCAGGTACTTAGGCATATCTATATGCGATTAAGGAAATACATGGGTAGCTGAAAAGGGAGAAGAAAGACTTAGGAGGCAGAGTGGAGCACAGTGTGGGGGAGAATCAGAAGAGTGCAGGAAAGTGGGTTGGTCTGTGGGAGGAGGAGATGGGAACATCAGAGTGGAGGAGAGAAGACTAAGAGAAAGCAGGTTAGACCTACGCCAGCCCGCTGGGCAGCTTCCAGGGCCTTCGGCTGCTGAAGCTGTGAGATGGAGATCTTTGTTTTGTGGCAGAGATCTCCAGGTTGGAATAGGAAGACTTAGAAGGAAACGTGGGTCTCCCAGGGAGTTTAGGTGCTGAAGGCCTGGCCTGGCAGGGTGCTGGACTCAGAGCAGACACAGGCGCTACAGCCTGCCCTGGTGTCACCTCCATGCGGCTGCCCGGCTCCTCTGCAGCAGAGGAAAATGGCTTTGTAAGCCGAGCACAATGAGCAGCATTCGTTCATTCACTCATTCCTCACTCAGCAAAGGGTTAGAGCCAGGCGCTGAGCTGCTGAATACGACAGACCCAGCTCTTACTGCCCTGAAGCAGGAGACCCGCCCGGTATGTCGTGCTGTAAGTAAGAGTTTGGGGTTTGCCAGTTGGGTGGCCTTGGACAAATTATTTCTCCACAGTTTCCTCATCTGTAAATTAGGCTTAAAGCAGAACCTAGCTCCTAGGAGGATTGAAAGCATTGAATGAGTTAGCACATGGATAGGGTGTGAGATAGTGCCTGGCACACGCTAAGTGCTCATGGAGTTAGCCAATGGGGTGTGTTCGCTGTTACTGTGATGGGGAGGAGCTTACAGGGCCCCAGGTTGTAGCAGAGGCTGAAGCTGGAGGGGAGGCCCGAGTCTGGGGGGCAGAATGCTGTGCGGGGGCACATGCGGGGACTGGGGAGGCGGAGAAGGAGGAGCCTGTTTGCCTGACAGGGAAGGTGAGCTGGGAACGAAGAGTAGTTAAGACCGGGGCCTGTGGACGTGTTTGGGGACCGCAGTGCGCAGCCAGAGAGCCCGCTCTGCCCGGACACCTTCCCTCGCCCCGGGGCTACGCCTCAGGACAGCCCTGAGGCGGGCCTTCCAATCACACGCACGAGAGAGGGTGAGGGCAGCAGTGACCGGTGGGACCCGAGGCTCAACCTGCCCCTGCAGAGAGGGTGGGTGAAGGCAAGCCGACAGGGGAGAGGAATGGAAGGAAGGCAGGTAGGGGAGGCGAGAGGGAGCAAGACACGACAAAACCAGGCCCGCAGGGGACTGGCTGTGGTTGACACCAACTGATACGCACGTTTTCCGGCTCAAAGGGATGTGGATTCTCTTTTGGATATTGTCTATGCCTTTTAGACCAAGCTCCATCTGAGCCGCGGAACGCCACTCAGACACTGAAGGCAAAGGGGGATTCCACCGCTGCTGCTGGCTCCCAGGCTCTGAGCCGGAGCTTCTCTCTCCTGCGGAGGCCATCTCTGCTCTCAGCACAGGTGCGGGAAGCAGCAGCGAGGAAGCCCTCAGCGACCTGACCTGGTTGTCTGTCTGCTGGATCTGTGGTGTAAAAGCTGGGCCTTTTGCCCTACCTGGGTTTGACTCAGTGGATAGAGCATCGGCCTGCCACTGAAGGGCCTTGGGTTCGATTCCAGTCAAGGGCGCTTGCCTGGGCTGCAGGCTTGGTCCCCAGTCGGGGGTGTGCAGGAGACAGCTGGTCAATGATTCTCTCTCATCGTTGATGTTTCTATCTCTCTCTCCCTTCCTCTCTGAAATCAATCAATTTATATATATATATATATATATATATATATATATATATATATATATGTTTTTTTTTTAAACTGGACATTTTAAAATCTGCTTTCTATTTCATTTTTCTAAGAGTCAAATTTTATTTTGAAATAACTAGACTCACGGAAAGTCACAAAAATAATACAGAGAGTCCAAGGAACCCTTTACCCAGCTTCCACCCCCTCCCCCGCAGTGGTGACACCTAATGTAACTCGGGCACAATATCAAACAGGAAGCTGACATCGTTTTCTGTTCACTGCTATCAGACCTCATTCAGATTCCACTCACCGGTCTGCACATACATGTACGTGTGTGCCTGCATGTGTATGTGTGTGTAGTTCTGTGCAAGTAGATCTCAGATTTGTGTTGTCATCATGACAACCAAGACCCAGAACTTAGAGAAACTTCCTCCTGCTGCCCCTTTATTGTCAGACCCCACCCCTAACCCTGTCCCCGCAGCCACTGCTCCGCTCTGCATAGCTGCAGCTTTATCATGTCAGAGACGCGGGTAAATGACTCGCCGGGCGGCTCAGCCAGTGGAGTATCGTCCGGTTCACCAAAGGGCACATTCCTAGGTTGTAGGTTTGATCCCTGGCCGGGGAGCATACAGAGGCAACGGATCAATATTTCTCTCTCACATCGATGTCTCTCTCTCTGTCCTTTCTCTCTCCCCCTTTCCTCTCTCTCTAAAATCAGTAAAGACGTACTCTCAGTGAAGATTTACAAAAAAGAAAAGATTGTCATGGGTTATGAATGGAAGCAGAGAGCAGGCCCCTTTGGAGACCGGCTTCCTCACTCAGCATGAATGCCCTCGATCCCGGCAGGTCACTCATTCCTGTGGCTGAATGCACTCCATGGCACAGACGAGTGCCTCAGCCTGTCTAACACTCGTCGTGGAAAGACATTGGGTTGTTTCCAGTTGGTGTTGTGCTGATAGAGCTGCTGTGAACGTTGTGTGTAGATTTTTGTGTGAACACGAGTTTTTCTTCCTCTGAGACAAATGCTGAGGATGCTGCGGGGCCACCTGGTGAGCTGCAGATGGCTTCCCCGCTGCCAGGGAGGAGGGTCCAGCCCCTCCCACCTCCCCCCTCTCCCCATTGTCCTGGCTGATCCTCTAACCACTCTCCTAACGCGGTTCTGGTTCTGCCCGGGCGATGGAGAAGAACGCACCAGGCCTTCCCGGCCGCTGCTCCTGTTGTGGGGGAGACGGAGGGGGCGCCACCTGGACTGGCCCCCGCGGCCCGGCACTGCTGTCAGCGGGCGGCGGGCGGTGTGTGCGAGGGGCCGCGGACACAGGCCTCACAGCGCCCTGCGTGGGGAGGGTCCCCTGCCTGCCTCCCTTCACCCTGTCGCCCTCCACCCGGCCCTGCCTCTTCCCTCCCACCTCCAACTAGCGTGACACCTTTCTCCCTGGAGCGGTTTCAGGGACCTTCATCCTCTCCCCCGAGGGTGGTCCGGGGAAGGGAGCCGCCTGGACGGGGCTCCGGCTCCTGGGCTCGGGCAGCCTGCGTCCCCGGGGGCACGAAACCCACTCAGCCAGAAGCCACAGAGCTGCACCCCAAGCCCACCTTTGTGCTTCCGGGGTGGGGGAGAGGGAGCAAGGGGAGAGCAC